AGCTCACAGCAACCTCCAACTCTTGGGCTTAAGAGATTCTCTTGCCTCAGCCTCCCAAGTAGCTGGGATTACAGGCGCCTGCCACAATGCCTGGCTATATTTTTGTTGCAGTTGTCATTGTTGATTTTAGCTGGTCCAGGCTGGGTTCAAACCCACAAGCCTCAGTTGATGTGGCTGATGCCCTACCCACCAAGCTACAGGCACTGCCAAAGAGATCTTTCTTTCTTTCTTTCTTTCTTTCTTTCTTTCTTTCTTTCTTTCTTTCTTTCTTTTTTTTGGAGACAGAGTCTCACTTTGTTGCCCTCAGTAGAGTTCCATGGCATCACAGCTCACAGCAACCTCGGGGAAATAGAAATTTTTATGCCTTTCTTGCAAACATACTGGGAGGTGCCCAATAAGATATCATACTTCTATTAATCAGTTTGATTTAAGCATTCCATATTGTATGCTCTATTCCACTTGTATGCTCAAATCATCACATTGTACCCCATAAATGTATACAGTCATGAGTTAATAAAAAATTGATAAAAAGGATATCATATTTTAATTTTTTTTTTTTTTTTTTTTTTTTTTTTTAGAGACAGAGTTTCACTTTCTCGCCCTAGGTAGAGTGCAGTGACATCACAGCTCACAGCAATTGCCAGCTCTTGGGCTTAGGTGATTCTCTTGCCTCAGCCTTCTGAGTAGCTGGGACTACAGGTACCCACCACAATGCCCAGCTATTTTTTGGTTGTATCTGTCATTGTTGTTTGGCCAGCCTGGGGCTGCATTTGAACCCACCAGCTCCGGTGTATGTGGCTGGTGCCTTAGCCACTTGAGCTACAGGTGCCGAGCCAAGATATCATACTTTTAAAAGGTACATATGGTATGTGAATTATATCTCAATAAAGCCGTTAGCCCCCAAAATAAAAAATGTTCTAAGAATGCAAGATGTTATACTAAATATTACATAAAAACCAGACATTCCAATTCCGTTTGACTCTTTCCTCTTTGAGGATGTCAGGTGTAGCTTGCTGGAATCATTACTTTTCAAAATTCTACAAACTATTTACAAAATATTCTCTATGTGTTGGACACCTCTTTGTAAAAATATATAATGAATATTTTGTAAATAAAGGTACTTCTGCTACCATTTCCCTTTTTCCCTACATACGGGGCCTCTATGGGTGACTCTGGGGACACCACGTGTTATACTACAGAAGAAGGAGAGAAATCCCTCTGACTGGGGTGTCAAGAAAGGTTTCCCAGAAGGGATAGCATTTCAGCAAATCTGGAAGGGTGGGATTTTATTAGAGCAAAAAGGGAGGGACGTCTCATCCTGCAGGAATAGCAAATCAATGATCCAGAGGAAGAACCACGCCCAGTGTGGGGAAGGAGGGAATGGGGAACCTGGCTGAGGTGTGTGAATGGGGACAGTAATGGGAAGAGAAGCGTAACGCAGGCTCACAAACGCCCCGTAAAAAGTACAGGCATTGGCTTGGCGCCGATAGCTCAACCGGCTAAGGCCCCAGCCATGTACACCTAAGGTGGCGGGTTCGAATCCCCAGCCCGGACCCGCCAAACAACAATGATGGCTGCAACCAAAAAATAGCCGGGCGTTGTGGCGGGCGCCTGTGGTCCCAGCTACTTGGGAGGCGGAGGCAGGAGACTCGCTTGAGCCCAGGAGTTGGAGGTTGCTGTGAGCTGTAATGCCACGGCACTCTGCCCAGGGGGACAGCTTGAGGCTCTGTCTCAAAAAAAAAAAAAAAAAAAAGTACAGGCATCATTCCACGGGCAGTAGGGAGCCCCTAAAGCTTCATGAGGAGAAAAATGACATGTATCTTCAATTCTCCACCATCAGCCCATCTCACAGCTCCCTTGGAATGTTGCCTCTCAGCCTTCAGGTTATTCCCGGGCCAGCTCAGGCTCAGGCCCCGTCATCCAGCACAAATGGGGACAGTGCCTCTGGCCCTGGCCCTGGCCCCTGGCGCGCTTAGCCCTTAGGAAGCAGGGCCCTTCACGTGTCAATCAACATAGCTTTGTTGAGCATCCCTGTGTGCGGGCAGCCCAGGAGAGCACAACTTAGGTCTTTCTAGACTTGTAGCAGGGTCCTCCCTTCCACAGGAAATACTCTAGAAAACCCTGAAACATTTTTTCCCGGGAACAGCAGGAAAACCAAGAAGCTGGGACTGAAATAGAAATAAATCCCAAGAACTCAGACTGCTAGTTGTCCAGGGAAAGGCCATTCTGAAGGTCATCCTGAACTTGAAGAAGGTTGATATCCCTGGAGATGTGGTTGGAGGGACAGGAAAAGTGGGTTTGGGGACCAGACCAAAAACATTTCCCAGGCTGGTCTTGTAAATGAAGGTCTTAGAGGAATGTGAAAGCAGGGACTGGAGTCAGGAGCTGGACTAACTTAGGAAAGAGGTTGGAGATGAACAAAAGGTGAGGAGAGATGTGTCCACACCAGGATCTTTTCTCCCTAGAATATTCATCCTCTCATCTCTGTAATCTTAGGCCTCGTTCATTCATCCTTTATGGCCGGTCCAACACCACCTTCTCCATGGAAACTTACCTGACAGTCCCCCCACAGAAACCACCTCCTTCCCTATGGCCTCCTCCCCTTCCCCCCAAAATAATCCCTCCTTCCTCCTCTGGTTCACACCCTTACAAAATTCTTTTCTTTTATGTTATCATATCATACATTTTTAATCCCCCATAATGCTTAGGATGATACTTTGTGCACAAAAAAGGCATTGCCCTGTAAATGAGAATTGCTCAAAGGCTAACTCCAAGGTTCCAGACCCCACTTTTTACACCATGGCACTAAATTTGCACATCTATCCTACAGCTAGAAAAGAATGAACTCAGAATTGCTAGCTGTAGGGGACAAAGGAAGCACAATTACTGATCTGCAGTGTTTTGGTTTGAGGTTTACAGGGAAGGGGGGTTCCCCCTTCCATAGAATAAAAATATCATTGAGCAAAAGCACAGAATTTCAGACCTCTGTTTGGGTGAGGAACAGCTTAAGAAACAAGATGTTTGATCCGGAGATTGAAGTATGGCCTATTGTCTTCTGATATGTAAAGTAGGAGAGGCTTACTCAGTGTGGCCTGCATAGGGCACAACCAGACAAGATGGGAGAAGCTTCAGGATGTCAGGCCTCAACCAGGTACCAGGAAGAACTTCCCCTCTATCACAGCTGTCCAGAGATAGAAATGGTGCCACTGGAGAGAGTTTCTCCTGGAAGTACTCAAGTAAAGACTGTTGACAACTTGTCAAGATTTTGTTTGTTTGTTTTTGAAACAGAGTCTCGCTATGTCACCCTCAGTAGAGTGCTGTCGCGTCACAGCTCACAGCAACCTCAAACTCTTGGGCTTAAACAATTCTCTTGCCTCAGCCTCCCAAGTATCTGGGACTATAGGCGCCTGCCACAACACCTGGCTATTTTTTTTGGTGGTAATTGTCGTTGTGTTTGGCAGGCTGGGCTGGATTAGAACCGGCCCACTCCAGTATATGTGGCTGGGGCCCTTGCCGCTGAGCTACAGGCACTGAGCTGTCAAGATGGTTTTGTCAAATGATCTAAAGAAGAGACTTCAGGGCTCAGTACCCATAGCTCGGTGGTAGAGCACCCAGGCTGGTGGGTTCAAACCTGGCCTGGGCCTGCCAAACAATAATGACAACAATAACAAAGCCGGGCATTGTGGCAGATGCCTATAATCCCATCTACTGGGAAGCTGAGGCAAAAGAATCACTTAAGCCCAAGAGTTTGAGGTTGCTGTGTGCTGTGATGCCATGGCACTCTACTGAGGGCAACATAGTGAGACTCTGTCTCCAAAAAAAAGAAGAGAGAGACTTCAGCATAGGATGAAAAGAATGGAAGTTGATAAACTTTAGGCTCTTGATTCATGGAAATACGTGGAAAGAAGGATTCAGTACCACTAGGACACTATCATAGCAATGGAGTGGTTAAAGACCATGGAGAGAGTATTCCCAGAAATGATAGTGTGTTAGGGAGGGGAAAAGGTAGAAAAGTGGAAAGAGCACTAGCTCTGGCATCATGAGACTTAGGTTCCAGTCCCAACTCTGGTACCAATTCATCTGAATGACTTAGGGTTTACCCTCTCCAATCTTGAGAGAAAGGTTGGGGTCCCCCAAGGGCCATTCCGACTAAAGCATTCAGTGATGTTACCAGTTCAAATGGCTGCATAAGACAGGGGTCAGGAAACTTTTTCTGTAAAGAAAAGGGCCTGAATGTAAATACTTCAGGCTTTGTGGGATACATACGGTCTCTGCTGCAGATTCCTTGTATTTTGTTTTGTTTTGTTTTATTTTCGCAACTCTTTAAAAGTAGAAACACTGGACTGAGCATGGTGACTGGTGCCTGTAATCCTAACACTCTGAGAGGCCTAGGCAGGTGGATTGCCTGAGCTCAGGAGTTTGAGACTAGCCTGAGCAAGAGCAAGACCCCTGTCTCTGAAAAAACACAGCTGGCCATTATGGTGGATACCTGTAGTCCCAGCTACTTGGCAAACTGAGGCAAAAAGGATTGGTTGACCCCCCAAGAGTTTGAAGTTGCTGTGAGCTCTGACACCAAGGCACTCAACTCCAGGGTAACTGAGTGTGACTCTGTGTCAAAAAAGTAAATAAACAAAAATAGAAGTATAAACACCATCCTTAGCCTGTGAGCCATATAAAAATAAACTACAAATCAAATTGGGCCCTAGTTTAACCAACCTTGACTTGAGAGGTTCACAGGACAGCTTTATGAAATCTTCCAGCAAGAATAAAGTTGAACATCTAGCTTAACAGGATATAAAATCGCCCAAGAAACAAACTGAGGGTTAGTGAAAGAAAAATGAAAATAAACACTGAAGAAGTAATAAACCAGAGCTCAAATATGATTGGATGAGGCAGATTTAAGAGAGGGGAAAACAGAAATAAAATAATGCTGGAAAAACTGGAGATGGTGACAGGGGGACACTGGCTGGGAGAAGAGGGAGCTCGTTTTCTCAGTTGAGGAAGCACAATGGGCCTGGACCATCTGGGCAGCCCAAAGACTGTGCAGGAGTCAGAATGTCCACTCCTGAATCAAGCCACACTTGACCCTTCAATAGCAAAAAGAGGAGAGCACATTGGAAGCAATCTAGCTCGTAAAATAATCAAGACCCAGAGGCGCTGACTAATGGGGGAAGATTAAACATAGACAAATACTAGCAGGCCCATTAAGTAGCATTTAACAGGACCAGTGACACCAATTTGCAGATACTTAAAAAGGGTAAACACCATGTAATAAGAAAAAGTGTAAACACCTGCAGGACTGGGGAGGATTGGCTAAGAGAACTGGATTATCAGTGACCACCCAGGAAACAGGTGTGACTAGTGAGTGATGGACTCACACCTTGGCTGCAGCACTTCTAAGCTGGAGAAAGGTGGAGGAGGGAGGCAGGTGGGCAGCACAGTGCCTGGTGCCTTGGAAAATCCAAGAGTCCAGAGACCAGAGTTCTAGGACAAGTCTGTCTGTGGCAATCAATCACAACCACATGGGGCTTCCATTTCCACTCCTGTTAAATGGGGATTCATTCTTGCCCTCCCTGTCTTCTGGCTTTAGTGAAGATACACTAACCCATTTTTTTTGCCCATTTTACTTGTGAGGACAAAATTGTTCAGGCCCTAGTTCAAAACCTCCAGGACAAATAACAATAGTAAAAAAAAAGAAAAAAGAAAAATCCTAGAGTGCATACATAGCTTTCAGACTCAATGTCTTGTAGATCCTCACTATCACCCAGGGAAGTCATAAGAAGTGTGTACCTGTTTCACACTTGAGTAAAATGAGGCTCAGGGAAGTGACCCAGCATCACATGGTTTAAACCATATGAAAGCCAGTTTTAAACTAGAGTATCCCAGCTTCCAGACTATGTCTGGGAAGGTGAGAGTATTGCAGAAAAGTCAGCCACACTGACCCCATGTGACACTTAAAGAGGCCTCAACTACATCAGTTTCTACAATTCCTTTAGAAGAAAAAAAGTCAACATTTCTTTTTAAAAGAAAAAAAAAAGTGTGGCGCCCATCACACAGTGGTTATGGCACCAGCCACAGACACCAAGGCTGGAGGGTTTGAACCCAGCGGCAGCTAGCTAAGCAACAAGGACAACTGCAACAAAAAATAGCCGGGCTTTGTGGCGGGTGCCTGTAGTCCCAGCTACTCAGAAGGCTGAGGCAAGAGAATCGCTTAAGCTCAAGAGTTTGAGTTTGCTGTGAACTGTGGCACCACAGCTCTCTACCAAGGGTGACAGTTTGAGACTGTCTCAAAAACAAAAAAAAACCATCTGTGTCCATGAAAGGGTTAATACCCATCCTCCACTCCTTTAAGTCTGAAGCCTTGGACACAAGCACCTGCCTGGCACAGCAGCCTTCTGGATCTGTCACTCTACCCCTGGCTCCACAAGAACCCTGCCCAGTGTCCAGGATGTCTGTACACTTTCCAAACACCTCCTCCTCGGATCCCTTGACCCCAGGAGCTCCAGGCTGCCCCACAGCCTGGGCAAGAGAGTGAGATCCTGTCTCTTAAGTAAAAAGAAAAGAAAAACGAAAACGAAAAACCTTCTTCTAATTGTTGGGTGTGCCAGAGTGTGCCCTAAGTGAAATTTCCAAGTTTCATGCTGCAGAGAACAAGTTTCTCTGGTTTGGTGTGTCCCCAGAGTCCCAAAGGAGACACACACACTTCCCTCTCTCCCGTGCCAAGTCACCAGCACTGGCTTCCTCCTTCTCCCTCTCCACCCATCTTCCCCCTTCTAATTCACTCCAGTCCCTGCCATCTGCAGGCTCAGGGGCTCTAGGTTAGCTTCTGCCAGGATGGGGGCATCAGCCAGCACCTTCCCCATGGATCTCCCCACAGAACCTGGGGCTGTCTGTGGCTTTCCAGCTCTGAACAATTTGTCTTACCTGAAACTGGTTGACTACCAGGTAGAACAATAGTCCTTGGGGCCCTCTCTGTGGCTCCAGACTGCCCCTTCCCTGCCTCTTACTCTTTCCGACACTTCCTGCAATCCCCCAGCTGCCTTCTCTTCTCTCTCCTTGGCCCTTGCTGGCGAGCTCCCCTGGGGACCCTTCTCACTTCTGCTCATCCTCATTTGTCCGGCTTCCGTCACACTGTGCCCCTGAACCCTTCTCTCGCTTCCTGGTCTTTCCCCCACCCCACCCCCCGCCCTCTCCACCCCGCGGACCTCAACAGCCGTCCACTCCCTTGCAGCGGAGCGCGGCGGTCCCTCCTCTGTACGCCTTGCTCTTCCCTCTTGGTGGCCCCAACCCTCATCCCACGTCCCAGGACCCCTTCCATACCCACAGCCCGACGGCCATCACCACCACGAAGTAGATGACAATCACGGAGATATCGGCCGCATTGCGGATGCGTTCGTAGGACTCCAGGGGCGCGGCGGTGGTGGTGGCCACGGTGCTCCAGGTACTGCTTTCCATGGCTGCGGCGACGCGTGCCTCCTGTACGCACTGGCCGCTTTTTCTTATACTGCCTCCTGGTTAATGATCAGCCCCAGGGGAGGAGACCCGCGACGGTGGGGCCTCGGGGCTGTAGCGCCGCGGTTCCCTCGCCTTGCTGTGCTGCACCGTCGGGGAGCAGCTCCGGGCATGCAGCGCTGAATGAGCTCTGGCACAGCTGTCGGCGCAGCGCTGAAACAGGTACTGCCCTGAGAGGTGGGAGGGGCAGGCCAAGGGGTGGTGCCCGCCGTGCTCCCACAGAAGGCACCTGACCAGGCGCCACGCCTGACCTGCCATGGGTAGGGTGACCAGACGTCCCGCTTTTGGCGGGACAGTCCTGCTTTTTAACAATTTGTCCCCGTCCCGGCGTTTTAAAAAAGTCTCGATTTTTGGAAAGAATGCACGAACAGGCGGGAGAACAGGAAGGGAATATACGGTTTTAGGCTGCCATGTGGCTATTTCACCAGGATATGAGTTTTATATTATTTTTGTTAATTTTATAATGTTAAACTGTAATAATAACAAATAATTGTTGAGAAGTGATTATCGAGAACTGCTTATCAAACTTTGCATTGTTGTCAGGCCCTGCCCTGCCCGGTCCCCTGCCCCGCCCCCTCCCCAGTCCCTGCCCCGCCCCTGGCCATGTTGTCCCGCATTGCCAATGTTAAAATCTGGTCACCCTAGCCATGGGGCCACCTGCGCAGAGCGGGAGTGGCTCCATGGAAGGAACAGGACACCTGGGGCCAAGCCCCAGAAGACTGCAGGTCGCCCGCCACGGGTCCTTGGACCCTTCTCAGACCCTCTGTGGACTTGGCTTCTCTGTGTGTAAAATGGATGCGGGACTTTCAGAAGAATCATTCAAGTTCTTGGTCTCCAGGGAGAACATTCAGAAGAGGACAGGAAATTGCTGGTTGTTGCTGGGGGAAAAAATCATCACAATCTTAATCTCTTGGTCCCAGGGATGGCTGCTACCCACTCATCCACATTCCTGACACCCCTTCTACAATCTGTCACCCCCAGGAGCAATGTCACCCCACCGAAAGTCAGCAGACACCAAATGGAGAAGAGGATCCCACTAGGGCCAGTGCTTTGTCCTGGGCCTCACCAACGCTGTGACCTGGACCCTTCTGAGGCAGGAGAAAACACTAAACAGTGGTTCTCAACCTTCCTAATGCCACAGCCCTTTAATACAGTTCCTATGGGTTGCCACCCACAGGTTGAGAAGCACTGTACTAGAGAATCCCTTCCATGAAGCCCATCAAAGCCCGACCTTTCCTGGAAGGGTCTGGAAACGTGTCTAAGGGCTGCAAGCCAGGCCTCAGAACGGAGAGGTCCAAAAGGAGGCACAACAGGTCATACCCTAAGCCAGGGGCAGAGCTGGCCCTGCAGTCCAGGCCAGTGCAGGTCTAGACCAAAGGAAGGGTTATGGGGATGCCCTCAGAGACAGGCTGACCGAAGAAGAGCTGCAGGGAGGAAGGAAGCACCACATCAACCCTGCCAGGACTCTGTTCATTATCAAGCCCTCCCTGCCCACTGCTAGATAACCCTCCACTGCCCAAATGTGACAGCCTCAGAGGGCCGCTCCCTCCTCCCTCTTCAGCACCTGTTCTTCCTACTGAGGCTCCTGTCGGAGAATCATTATTTGGACAGCACCCATGAAGGTCTTTGCCCCCTTCCTTCATCCGTCCCCCAGGAATGTTAACTGTATAACTCTATGTCCAAGGTCCATCACAATGTCTGCCCAGAGGGAACAGGAATTCCTCTTCTGGGGAACATGGAAGCAGATACCTCCCAAGACTTGACCCCAGGGGTCAAGTGCAGCCCAGAGCAACTGACCTTCTGTCTGTGTTCATTCAGACCTGCCTCCTGCAATGCTTTTTCATGTGGTTCCATGCCAGGTGGAGTCCCTGCCTTGAGGGAGCTTCCAGTCCAGCCTGGAAGTGAGCTCCCCCACAGGAAACATTCAGCTCTGAACCCACAGCTGCAAACAGCCAGCCCACACCAAGTTCTAAAAGTACAAGGCATAGAAAATGAAGTTCGTGGAAATGAACAAATCCGAAAAGTGAGCAGGAAAGAGGACTATAGGGCCATCCTTTAATCTCCCGAGGAAAGCAGAACATAAAAGAGAGGGAAGGAGGTGGCCAGGGAGAGGCCAGAAACTGTGTTCATTCATGCATTCATTCATTCTTGCAGCAAAAGAGCTGCCTTTCTGTGCCAGGTTGCACATGCTGATCCCAGGTATACAGCTATGAACAACACTCACAGCTTTTGTCATCACAGGACTTCCTGCCCAGTGGCAGACGCAGATCAGCATCAAAGATGGGACAACCGCCTATACAATTACCACTGTGATAGGTGCTTTGAAAGAGAAGCACTAGTGCTCCAAATGTCTAGCAAGGAATTTGGCCTGGAGATGAAAGGAGGTTAGAAGGTCTAGGAAAACTCTTGTTTGAGAAGGGCCCTGAAAGAGAAAGGGAAATGGGCCAGGTAAGGTGGGAGTGAGGGACATTCCAGGAAAGGGCAAGCATGGGGGTAGCAGGTTACAATATAGAGAGGGACCAGTTGGGGGCTACAAGTAACAATGAATAAAAATGTCACCATAAGAAATCCCCCACCATGATTATCCCCTGGCTGCCTGAGACCCCTTTGCCATCTCTCATCCTCATTGTTCTCTTTTAAAAGGGACCACTTTAAACCCAGCTTCCCCTGAATGGATGCTTTCAGAACACAGTGCAACCTGCCCCTCCACAGCTGGCCACAGCTGTTGGGCCACTGCTCACTGGTAAGATCTTTTTAGCCTCTTTCTTGACTTCACTGGTGCCAATGAAAACCAGGGCCTGGTTACTAAAAGGGATCTTGTTATCAGAACCCCAGAGAGAGGAGAAAGCTGGCCAGACACCCAGGCCAGACACAGCCTCGTGAGGTCAATGAGGAAAGACAGGTGAAAGCAAGAAGGAGCTCCACACACCTTCCTGAGTCTACATAGGGTTACAATCTTTTGTCAGATTAGAATCCTAAATTTAAAAGGCCAGGCGCCAACAGAGTCACAGCCATACCTGACTGTCTGAAGAAGTATTCAAATGACCCTGCAATCACTATTCTACTGCCTACAGATGGGAGGGAAGCTCCAGTATTTTGGAGGGTGTCTCCTTGGTCTCCCTCCATGCTCCTCATGTGTCCAGGTCCCATAAGAGTCCCACCTCTCCTGCTATTCCAGGAGCTCCCTCACAGCAAGCCCCAAATAGGCCAGGCCCACCTCTCACTGGCTAAACTGTGCTTCTTGGCAAGGAACCCCCACAGTGGAATAGCCAGCTCCTCAACTCTAGTTGCACCATGAATTGAAAAGCCTAGGTGGAGAGGCTATGAGTTTGAGGAAGCAGGGACTGGAAGGGGATCCATGTGGCTAATTTAAATCTCAGCTCAACCAACAATAAGCGGACTGTGGACAGCTCACTTGACATCTGTAACCCTCCCTTTAAATGACTCAAATGACAGATGTGAAGGAATCTCAGTAACAATGAGACACCAGAAAAGGTGAGGAACCAGGAGCTCTGCTATGATTTTTTTCTCCTTTTCTTTTTCTGCATTGTGAGTGGAAAGCCCAGGAAAGCAGGCTATGGATCATTATACACTCGTGCTTAGGGATGGGGATTCATTTTAAGAAATGCATCGTTAAGTTTGCAAACATCATGGAGTTTAGATGCACAAACCTAGATGGCATAGCCTACTGCACACCTAGACTATCTGGTACAAACTGTTGCTCCTAGGCTACGAACCTGTACAGCATGTTACGGTACTGTAGGCCTGCAGTCCCCAACAGGCCTGTGGACTGGTGCTGGTCTCTGACCTGTTAGGAACCAGGCTGCACAGCAGAAAGTGAGCTGCAGGAGATCCAGCAAAGCTTCATCTGTGTCTACAGCTGCTCCCCATCACTCACATCACCACCTGAGCTCCGCCTTCTGTCAGATCAGCATAGCATTAGACTCTCTGAGGAACATGAACCACACTGTAAACTGTGCGTGTGAGGGGTCTAGGTTGCAGGTTCCTTATGAGAATCTAGTGCCTGATGACCATAGGTAGAGCTGTAGTGGTGATACCAGCACCAGGGAATGGCTGCAGTTACAGATTATCATTAGTAGAGAGGTTTGACTGCACAGATATCATAATGGATACATTGCCTGCAGACTCATATCAAAACCACCTCCCCACCCAGCCCACGCCATGGACAAATTGTCTTCCATGAAACTGGTCCCAGGTGCCAAAACGTTTGGGGACCACTGCTGTAGGCAGTGGTAACACAATGGCAAATATTTATATCTCTACATACATCCCAACAGAGAAAAGGTCTGGTAAAAATTTGATATAAAAGATTAAAAATGGTACACCCATGTAGGGTACATACCATGAATGGGGCTGCTCTGGGTGAGTCAGTGAGTGAGTGTGAAGGCCTTGGGCATTGCTGTGCACCACTGCAGACTTATATACACCCTACACTTCAGCTACCCTAACTTTATCTGAAAAATTTCTTTCTTCAATAATAAATTAACCTTTTAGTTTACTATAACTTTGTTTTTCACAAACATTTTTGTAATTTCTTAAACTTTTCTTTTTAACAGGTTTTTTGGTTTTTGGCCAGGGCCAGGTTTGACCCCACCACCTCCGGTACATGGGGCCGGCACCCTTCTCCTTTGAGCCACAGGCGCTGCCCAATTTCTTAAACTTTTTTTTTTTTTTTTTTTTTTGAGACAGAGCCTCAAGCTGTCCCCCTGGGTAGAG